GGACTCGCGCAGCGCATCGTCAGCGGCGAGGTGCCGGAGAGCATCAAGGACAAGAAGGTCTTCGCGCTCGACATGGGCTCGCTCGTGGCGGGCGCCAAGTACCGCGGCGAGTTCGAGGAGCGGCTGAAGGGCGTGCTGAAGGACACCATCGAGTCGCAGGGTAAGGTGATTCTCTTCATTGACGAGCTGCACACGCTCGTGGGCGCCGGCGCCTCCGGTGATGGCTCCATGGACGCGGCAAACCTGCTGAAGCCGTCGCTCGCGCGCGGCGAGCTGCACTGCGTGGGCGCCACGACGCTTGACGAGTACCGGCGCCACATCGAGAAGGACGCTGCGCTCGCGCGCCGCTTCCAGTCGGTGCTGGTGACGGAGCCTACGGTGGAGGAGACCATCTCCGTGCTGCGCGGCATCAAGGAGAAGTACGAGGCGCACCATGGCTGCCTCATCAAGGACGAGGCGCTCGTGTACGCGGCCGTCAACGCGCATCGCTACCTGTCGGAGCGGCGCCTCCCCGACAAGGCGATCGACCTCATCGACGAGGCCGCCAGCCGGCTGCGGCTGCAGCAGGAGTCGAAGCCGGAGCAGCTCGATGGCGTCGGGCGCGAGCTCGTGCGGCTGAAGATCGAGGCGGAGGCGGTGAAGAAGGACAAGGACGAGCTCGGCAAGGCGAAGCTGCAGCAGATCTACCAACGCATCGAGGAGCGGCAGCGCGAGTACGACGAGCTCGAGACACGGTGGAAGCGGGAGAAGGCCATGTTCGAGCGCATCAAGCAGCGCACGGAGGACCTCGACGTGCTGCGGCACCACTACGAGCAGGCACGCACGGAGGGCGACTTCGCGCGGGCCAGCGAGATCCTCCACGGCCGAATCCCCGCCCTGAAGAAGGAGATCGAGGTGGATAAGCAGGCAACGAAGGTCGAGGGATTCCTCACGCACGACTCCGTCACCGCCAACGACATTGCGCAGGTCATCGCCCGCGCCACCGGCATCCCGGTGCAGAAACTCATGACGGGCGAGCGGGAGAAGCTCATCCACATGGACAGCGAACTCTGCAAGCGCGTGCTGGGGCAGAACGAGGCAATCGCCTCCATCACGAACGTCGTGCGCATCTCACGTGCGGAGCTGCACTCACACAAGCGCCCCCTTGGCTCCTTCCTCTTCCTCGGCCCCACCGGCGTTGGCAAGACGGAGGTGTGCAAGCAGCTGGCGAAGTTCCTCTTTGACGACGAGTCGTTCATCTGCCGCATCGACATGAGCGAGTACATGGAGCGGCACTCCGTGCACCGCCTCATCGGCGCCCCGCCGGGCTACGTCGGCTACGAGGAGGGCGGCGAGCTCACCGAGTCCGTGCGGCGGCGGCCGTACCAAATCGTCCTCTTCGACGAGTTCGAGAAGGCCCACCCGAGCGTGTCGAACATCCTGCTGCAGGTGCTCGACGAGGGGCACCTCACCGACAGCCACGGCCGCCGCGTGGACTTCAAGAACACCATCATCATCCTCACGTCGAACATCGGCGCCGACGTCATCGCGGCGCTGCCGGAGGGGGCACCGTCGTCGCAGGCGATGCCGGCGGTGATGCGGCAGG